CATGCCTGGGAGGGCAGGTAGCCTTTTTCACCCTCTGCCTTGCAGGGCTGCCCTTGGGAGGAAGAGCTGTGTGAGGACCAGCAGTGGAGCTGCTCCCGTAGCCGTGAGTGCATCCCTGATGTCTGGCGCTGTGATGGAGAGACTGACTGCACTGATGGCAGTGATGAGGCTGGCTGTGAGCAACAGCTTTATTTTATTCCCTGTCTCACCCAGGGGTGGCTGGTGGGTGCCTAGCACGGAGGGAGATGGGTATGTGTCTGTGCTGAGATTAAGGGCCCATGTGCTGGCTGCCTATTCCAAGCAGCTGTGGTGGCTCCAGGTCCTGGGTAGCTGTTCTCCCTGCAGGGACCAGTGGCCTTTGGATTAATGTAGCCTGAAGCCAGGCTACTGGCGCAGCTCTGGATGTGGCTGCAAGTGAGCTCTAAGCAGCCTCTGGGAGCAGCTAAATCTGCCCCAAATGAGCAGAAGGAGCTAGTGGATGAGGCTCAGGGCAGCCTTCCCATGTCCCTGCAGGCCACCCTGCTCCTTGCCAGAGTAATGAGTACCCCTGTGGGCTGGGGTCCTGCCTGAATGCATCCCTGGTGTGCAACAGCCGGCAGGACTGCGCGGATGGCTCAGACGAGGGTGGGAACTGCTCTGTGCCCTGCCAGCGGTCCTGTACTCATCTCTGCTACCCCTCACCCCAGGGCCCTGTGAGTGCCAGCAGCCCTGGGGCAGGGGCTTGTCATACCATGATGCCCTGCTCCAGCTGCAGAAGGGAGCCTCATGTCCCCAGGGTGGGCAGCTGATGGTTCCTTTCCCCCCAGCGGTGCTGGTGTGGCCCAGGCTATCGCCTTGCTGCGGATGGTCTGTCCTGCATGGACATAGATGAGTGCACGGAGTGGGGCAAGGGAGCCTGCAGCCAGACATGCCTCAATGCTCCAGGGTCCTACAGCTGTGGCTGTCTCCCTGGCTACCTGCTGGAGCCCGATGGCCACACCTGCAAACTCACTGGTAAGTCCTGGGGTGGCCAAGCAGTGCTGAGGCTGGCCCTGACCCTCTAAGATACACTGAGGGCTGGTGGATACTTGTCCTCCTGTGTCTGCTGCCCATGGGAAACCTCGTAGTCCTGTGAATGGGCTGAGTCCCAGCAAGCTCCAATGCCTGTGAGTGCTGTGTCCCTTGCCTGCATGTGCTGGGACCATGGGACCATTAGTGCTGAGCAGGGTCCGTGTGGCTCTGTGTTACCCCAGGACCAGAGCCCAAGCTGCTGGTGGCTGTGCAGTCCGAGGTGCTGTCCTATGGCCTGCGGAGTGGCCATGAGGAGGTGGTGCTGGCCACTGACAAGGATCGTGTTGTCTTCTCACTCGACTATGACTTGGTGGAGAGGAAAGTCTTCTGGATGGACCTGGCCACAGAGAGCATCCGCTGGCAGGACCTCAGCTCGGGAAAGAAAGGCACATTGGTGAAAGGTAGGCTGTGACAACATGGGGTTAGCAGGGCTGGCCTCCCCCACTGTGCAGTCTCCAGGTTGCAGAGGGGTGCCAAGCTGTGATCCCTTATGTGGAGAAGCACTAGTGGGAGCAAGGCTGGGAGGAGCCAGAGCTTCTGGGATGGAGGGATTTGGGCTGGGAGCATTATGCCAAAGGGCTGTGCAGTTGTCACCCCACACAGGTGCTGCCTCTTGAATGCATTTCAGGTGTGAGATCAGACTGTATAGCAGTGGACTGGCTTGGGAGAAACCTGTACTGGACAGATGGGGTAGCAGGGCAGATTCTGGCTACTCGCTTGGGGGCTGCCTGGCAAGGGATACCAGAGTACACTGTGGTGATGGATGGAGACCTGGACCAGCCTCACTCCCTGGTGCTCCAGCCTCTGGCAGGGTAAGTCTGGGACAAGAGGACATGAGGACCTCCTTACCATCCCTGCCCTGCCCCATTTTCCTCTGTGGAAGCAGATGAGAGGCTGGGGAAGAGGGAGGATGGCCTCACCTTGTTGCTGTGGGGACTGCATGACGGTAGAAGAAAGAGCCCAGATACCTGCCCCTGCCCTGCATGGAGCTCTCAATGCACCCATGATGAGATGGGAAGCTCCAGGCTGCTTTTCCGGGCTGCCTTGGTGCTGGGTCGATGCTGTGTCAGGTCCATAGGCTCATTCCTGCCTTCCCACTAGGCTGATGTACTGGTCAGAGGTGGGGAGCCACTCACGGCTGATGGAGGCCAGCATGGATGGGAGTTGGCGGCACGTGCTGCTGGCCCAGGGACTGGGCTGGCCCACAGCACTGGCCCTCGACTTCCCCACCCAGAGGATCTTCTGGCTGGATGAGAAGCTGGGCAGTGTTGGTTCTGCACGTCTGGATGGCAGCAGTGTGAAGGTGGGGTGGGGCACTGGTGGTGGGGCTCTGATGGGCACCGGGATGGGCACTGACAGGTGCCTCTCTGACAGGTCCTGAAGCTGCGCTGGGTCCGGAGCCCCTTTGCAGCAGCTGTGTGCGAGGGGCAGCTCTACTGGTCGGAGAGGAAGACATGGTCCGTGCAGCAGGTGGACAAGGCCAGCGGCAAGAACAGGACTGTGCTGCTCAAACGGCATGGGCAGCCCCATGGCCTCCAGGTACCTTCTTGGGGAAACCCAAGCCCTGCTGTGCCAGCTCTGCTGATCTCCCATCCTGCACAGTACTGCTGTCCTCTGAGCGAAGAGGCACTGGAAGCTGTACCCCCGTCCCAGTGATCTTTGAGCAGCAGTCTCTGTGGCCAAGGGTCTCTGGTCCCCTGGGACCATCTCTGCCTCACCATCCTGCCCTGAGCTGGGCTGTGTGTGGGCCCTGGGAGCATAGTGTGCTGTCAGTCATGCTCAGCTCTGCTGGCAGGTGCTGATGGAGCTGAGGCTGAGCCCACTGTCCCACAGGTGATGCACCCAGCCCTGCGTCCTGCGGCTCCCAACCCGTGTGAGGCGCGTGGCTGCTCCCACCTGTGCCTGCTGAGCGCCAGGCACACGGGGCAGTGCCGCTGCCCCACTGGGCTGATGCTGGCCGCCAATGAGACCACCTGCCTGCCCATCCGTGATTCAGCCTTTGCCCTCCTGGTCTCACCGGCAGCTGTGGCACAGGTACCGCCCTCTGGAGCCAGCCCTGGGGGCTGCTGTTCTTACCACTGTCAGGGAAGAGGGGTCCACATCCTAGTGCTGCCTCCTTCCTCTAGGTCTACCTGAAGGACCTGCCCACATCAGCTGGATCCCAAGGGCTTCCCCCACACCGGGCCCTGCCTTTGGCCAAGGTGAGCCGCCTGACAGCTGTTGACTATGCAGTGAAAGACAAGAGTTTGTACTTTGCAGAAGTGGGAGGCAATTCCATTGGACTGCTGCGCCTGAAGGACTGGGGACGGCTGTCCTGGAAGAAGGCAGTAGCTGTGGAGGGCGCGGTGACATCCCTGGCCTTGGACTGGCTGAGTGGAAACCTTTACTGGATTGGGGGGCAGCCACCCACCATCCACGTGGCAGCTCCCAGGGGGCGGTGGGTCCTGGCACTACTCAGCGAGGGGCTGCAGGGTGCTGCCTGGCTGGCACTGTGTCCTCGTGCTTCCACCATGTGCTTTGTCACAGCAGCTGGCAGCCGTGGGCATGGTGCCGTGGTGGAGTGTGCAGCCATGGACGGCACTGGCCGCAGAGCGGTCTGGAGGAGAGCCCGGGCTCCCACTGGCCTTGCCTTTGGGGGTGCTGGCACCAGGCTGTACTGGGCAGACCACGGTGAGTGAGGACTGAGCCGGTGCACTGCGGGGCGGTAGCAGTGGTACAGGCACTCAGTCTGCAAAGCACAGCCTGGCACAGCCCTGAGGGGCAGCCCGGAGCCCTCTCTGTTGCCACACTGAAGCCTCTCCACCTGTGCCTTGCAGAGAGAGGAACCATCAGCAGTGTTGAGCTGGATGGATCCCGCTTCCGGCTGGTGCGGGAAGGGCTGCATGGTCTCTCACTCTTTGCTGTAGGAGAAGGCTTTCTGCTCTGGAGCACAACCTCAACCAATGGTAGGTCTGTCTGCTGTGCTTTGCCCAGCTCCTCCTACTGCACTAGGACACGGGTTCTGCCAGTCCCCGTGGGGGTACAGGCTTGCCCCTCTGTGGGGTCAAGGGGAAGCTAGGGGACCCCCCCACCTCCCAGCTCAGGCACCTTGTGGGAGGAGGTGGAGCAGTGCTGACCCCATGTGTCCCCAGGCTCCAGCAAGATCTGGCACAGCCGGCTGGAGCAGGCTGAGAACTGGTGGTTCCCAATGGAGCAGGAGTTGGTAGCCATGAGGATTTACAGCCAGTTCTCACAGGAAGGTGGGTCTGGGACTGCCCTAGCCCAGGGCACCTGCGGGGTTCAGCTGTGCCTTGCGGTGGCCATGCTAACCAGCGCTGTTTTGGCAGGCACCAATGGCTGTGCAAAGAGCAATGGGGGCTGTGCCCAGCTCTGCCTGCCCAACCCTGCAGGGAGGCAGTGCCGCTGCTCTCCTGGGTACCACCTGGTGCACGGAGCAGCGTGTGCGCTGGCACCGCCTTGCCCCGCCCTGCTGCAGGCCTGCCCCGACCTCCAGAGCTGCATCTCCAGAGAGCAGGTCTGTGATGGGCACCCCGACTGTGCCGACGGCTCCGATGAGTCTGACTGTGAGTGCCCACCCACAGCTGGGCTGTGCCAAGGTCCTGGGCATGGGACAGCCTGCCCAGGCTCGCCCAGTTTGGCAAGGGGTCTTACCTGAGTCTCTGCTGATCCATGCCCATCCCTCCAGGCGCCTCAGTGAAGGTGGGGACGCAGGTCCCTGCAGTGGCACCATCAGGAATGTCCCACGTAGAACAGGAACCAGTCTCATCCATAGCTGCACCCCAGCCTCGGCAGCCCCGCCCCAGCCTATCTGCAGCCCCTGGCCCCCAGGAGCACGGAGAGCCCTTCGTGGTGCCCCCCAGCACGGAGGAGGTGCTGGGGGCTGTGCCCTGCAGCAGTGAGACGTGCAACCTGCGTGGGGACTGTGCCATCGAGGCTGGCCGAGTGACGTGCCACTGCGCCCTGGGCTATCGTGGCGACTACTGCGAGGAGGCCGAGGTGCAGCCCCTGGCAGGACCCATTGTGCTGGGGATAGCCGTGCTCCTGCTGCTGGCTGCTGCTGCTGTGGGGGCCCTGGCCTACATGCGGAGGCGGGACAGGCGGAGGAGGTGAGCTCTGGGGCTGCACTGGGCCGGTGCAGCTGGGAATAGAGAGAGACAGGGTCTCTGCCCAGGGACAGTGTGGAGTCCTGATGCACTCCTGGGTTATATGGAAAGCTGCAATCACCCCAGCAGGCTGTTACCAGGGGTTGTGGTAGGACTTTGGGATCTGCCCCATCTCTAGGAGTTGGCCGTGCCATTCTTGGTGTACATTTTTCCCTCTCCAGGACCTCGAGCACTGCTTCCACTCGGGTGCTGACCCTGTACCACCGTGAAAGTGATCCAGAGGAAGAGGATGAGGAGGAGGAAGAGCTTCCCCCCAAGAGTGATACATTTGTCAATGAAGCTTATGAAGGGAAAGAGGTAAGTTGCATCTGGAGCAGGCCCTAAGGACCCCACTGCCACCCTGCAGTGCCCCAGGGCCCAGTGCTGGCATGATGCCCACTCCTGAAGCAAGCTCTGCCCTCCTGCTGAAGGAGAGGGGCAATACCAATAGTGCCTAGAGTCTGACAGGGCCGTCCCACTCTGCCTGTGGCTGGACCCCTGTGCTAAGGTGTGGGGTGGGCTTAGAGAGGTTGGGTCAGACCCCTGATACACCTATCTGTGATTTCTGCAGGAGCTGCCAGCCCTGCTGAGGAAAGGACCATCTCACATCAACACCGTAATTTCATAAAGGAACGTTGTGCAGTGTCTCTTGTGCCGTTGTGGTTTGTGTCTGGGCTGGGGAGGGGAGGTTGGTTTGCTCTTTGTAGATTTCTAAGACCTAGGGAACGTAAGAATGCAGACAAAAACGTTTGGGAGGTTTATCAGGAAGTCTCCAAGTCCAACACACTCTCTGAGAATGTCCCTTGAGTACTGTCCCTCTGCAGCAAGGCTTACCTTGCTGACCAGGGTGCCTTGGGCTCACCTGGAGTAAGAATCTGGCCAAATAACTCTGCAGGAAGCTGGCTTGGCTCTTACCTTGTTATGCAGGGGGCTGAGAAGGATTTTATAGTGGAGTTCTGACCTCCTGAGTGTCCCTTACAAACCAGTGAGACCAGTTTTACCACCTCACACCAAGCTAATTTTGAAAGGGGAAATAAAATGCTATTTTTTTTCTGTGATCTTCCTTCCCCCACCCTCCCCACTCCACCCTGAAGTGGCTGTGCTCCAGGAAGGAGAAACCTCTTCAAGAGATGATTTTGACCATGGGGGGGAAAGTCCTTTGGGAAAGTGCTATAAAAGCTAGCTGTGCCCTTCTACAGACCTTTCCTCCCTGCTTCAGGCAAAACAGGGAAGCTGGGTGTGCCATGCCTGCTGGCTCTCAGCCCAACCTGCCTGGCAGAAAGCCCATAACCATCCCACAGCACAAACACATTGCTTTGAATTTATTTTGCTTTTTGCACAGTCCAGAGCTGGGCAGAGATGTGAGACAGGTGCTCCCCTCCCCTACTGCCAGCTCTGAAGGTTACACACTTCTGACCTGTATGTTGCTTACATGGGAGCACCAAAGCTGTCTCTGCCCAAGCTGTTGTGCATGGTACAGGAAGATGAGGTAAAAGCAGCACAGAGGGACTGGAGCCACCTCTGGTTCCAAATCCAGCATGGCTTTGGCACAGTTGTAGATCCTGGAGCACAGCAGTCTTTTGAGGAAGTTGCAAATATTCAGAACAGGTCCTTGGTCTTGTTTCCAGCAAGAGAGAACCCAGGGGGCTTCAGAGGGGCCCCAGGAGAAGGGCATGGCTTGGTAGGGGCAGGGGCCAGCACTGCTCTTGATGTCAGGGACGAGACTGCTGTTCCAGTGCTGGGGCTACAAGTCAGAATCACAAGGTGGGCTTCTCCCCCAGCGCTGTCCATCTTTCTCATCCTCCAGCACGTCCCAGGGATTGTTGTAACCTCTACTGGAGCCCGACTCAGCCTCTGTTACAGTGGTGGGGGGCAATTTGGGAGCTCTGCGCTCCTTGCAGCAGTGATGGAAGCTGAGGGTGAGGGCCAGCCCCCCCAGGATTTCCAGACAGCTTCCCAGATAGCTCAGCACCAAGCTGTAGCCTACAGTCAGCGTGCTGCCAGGCGGGGCAGGCAGTGCCCACAGCTCCTGGGTGTACCAGGAGCTGGGCACGAGGCTCATCAGCCCGGAGAGGAGCAGCACCAGCCCTGCCACGCCGGCCACCAGGTGCCGGGGCTCCAGCTGCCAGCAGCGAACACCCAGCGCAGCCACCACCAAGCCCACCAGGGTGACCACCAGCGAGGAGGGCATCAGCCCTTGGGCCACCCGCACGGGCACCTGCTCAAAGTAGCCCAGCCCGTCAGCCTGCCCGCAGAGGCGGTCGTGGGTGCTCTGCCGCTCCCTGCATATGTCCCAGATGCCCTGCTCCCAAACGACGTCCATGGGCTGGTCAGGTACGAGGCTCACCTGCCTCCAGCTGGGTGCGAGCGTGCCCGTGAGTGTCAGCAGGAGCCCGCAGGGGCACAGCACCAGCCCCACGATCATCTCCGCCGGCGTCCTCATGCTGGGGACGTGGGTGAAGCGGGCTCCGGAGGGCTCCCGCTCGCCCGAGGTCCGCGGGAGCTCCGGGGCACGCAGGACAGGAGCTGTGGCACCGGTGCGGGCAGGGCGGGGGTCCCGCGGCCGTGCCGGAGCCCCTGAGGCCGTGCCGGAGCCCCTGAGGCCGTGCGGAGCCCCTGAGGCCGTGCCGGAGCCCCTGAGGCCGTGCCGGAGCCCCTGAGGCGGGCAGCCCGCGGAGCCGTCCCAGCCCGGGCCGGGCTTGGAGAGGTGCGGACAGGAGGCGGTGCCGGCGGGCGGGGCCCGGCCCGGGCTGGCCGGCACCTGCGGCGGGGACAGCGCCTTCCAGGGGGACAGCGCCTTCCAGGACTGCCGGAGCCCGCGGGAACAGCGCCTTCCAGGGCTGCGGGAGCCCGCCGGGAGCGCCGCATCTCCGGCCCCCGCTGTCCCCTCGCAGGTGGCGGGATGGGGGCCGTGCCCGGGCTGCTGGGGCGGCGTAGGACCCTGTTACAGCTCCCTTCTTTACCTGCATGCCAGCTTATTTTGCTATCAAATTAGCTAACTAATTAATTAAAATAATTAGGATGAAATGCTGGTAGATCTCACATTTGGTAACTGGCCCAAGAAACCTCCCCATCTCCCTGTCCTTCAGGGAGAGCTCCTGGGCTCGGCCCTGCTCCTCCCGTCCCACGCTGCCCTCAGAGGGCACCCGCAGCAGCCTGGCTCTGGGCAGGAAGAGTCCCTGGGATGTCCACTGAGACAGGTACGGGAAATCACCACATTTGAGAACGCCAGTGTGGGATTTTGAGCCCCAAAAAGCACTCGTCCTGGGCCTCGCCATATTTCCCTGAGTTTCTGCCAGTCACACTGAGCCCAGGAGAGGGCAGCATCCTCTGTGGATGGATTTGGGATGAGCAACGCCGGCTTAGCTGGAAGGCTGGCTCTGTGTGTGCCCCACGGCATCTTTGCGCTGCTGGTTCCTGGCCTTGGAGGGAGGGAGGAAGGAAGGCCTTCCGTCCAGAGGGCTGCGTGGGGCTGTGCTGGACCAGCTGCCCCCGGCTCCCTTCCCCACTCCTCCGTCCCACAGCTATTTCCCGAAGTCCTGAAGCCCTTCAGCTCTCTGGGTGCCAGATCATTTTGGGGAGGGATTTTGAAGTTGTTGAACACTGGATCTTAGTCCAGCTGGAAGGCAGGGGTGGGTTGGACTCAGCCAAAGGCTCATGTCTCCAGCCACATCTACAGAGCAGCCAGATGAGCATAGCTCCAGAACGGGAACACCTGGCTTTGTGGTATGTAGCCAGTAGCTTGCTAAAACTTGGCACTCCTCATCTGGGAAACTAAGCCAGGGGTTGCTGATTCCTTTCCTGTTCAATTAACTTCTGTAACTTTTACCCTACTCCAGCCACTGACTCTGTGCCAAGGCACTCACTACTGCCCTGGGAGCTGTGGGTCCAACCAACACACCAAATGCTGCTGGCCTGATGTGTTTCTTGAGTCTGCCTTCTGCCATGGGATCCCCACACAGGAACAGGTGCTGCAAGCCTGAAACCTTATAGTCCTGACTCCCTTGTGAGCTGTGTCTGGACACCTTTCCATCTGGACACCAAGTGGAGGTTGGCTGTGAAATGTAGTGCTCCTGGAGGAGAGGGGGGCAGAGGGAAAGGGCTGGAAGCAAGCTGGGTGGCACAGTGCCATGGATGAGTGCCTATCAGTGCCCTTTGCCTCCTGCCCGCTCAGGAGGCTTTTACCAAGGTGACAAATCACAGCTTGGTGGCAGTGCTGTCAGGTGTAGCAGTGGTTGCCCATGGACCATCTGAGCCAAGCTGTGAGCAGGTGATAGCAAGCCCTGAGTCCTGCATGGCTGGCCAGGACTTATCTGCCCATCCCAGAAGTGTGGGTAGGCGTGTGCCAACCCTGATGGAAAGGGAGGAGTTCTCCATTTTGTTGGATTTGCCCACATTTTACCCAGAAAGGCTAAGAAACCTAGAGGGTAATGCCCACCCTAGGCTTTGCAATGCCTGCCCTAGAATCCCTCTCTTGCAGCACCTTTCTTTTTCTCTTATCTGTTCCTCCAGCAGTGCTGTGCCCCTCTTTCCCTTGCTCATGCAGGCTTGAGTCTGGGAGGTGGCCAATCCTTGAATCTGCAGCTGCAGCAGAAGCTGGATCCCAGGAATATCACACTTATGCACCAGGGCAGGTTTAAAAACCTGGGCCTTTCCAATTTATTAATAATGCCCAGGAGGATGCATTCTGCCCTTTGGGCTGATGCCCAGGCTCCTGACTGTGGGACAATGATAAGCAGATTAGGTGATGTGGCCCTGATGCTGGATGACCTGCCCTGAGTAAGCCTGGGGAAGGAAATGGGATTAACAGAGCTGTTTCCCGTTGCCATAAAGTTATAGATTGTTCATTTCTTCTCTTTTACTTTCTAATGAGGTGGTATGAAAAGAAATTCAAAGAAGTGCCTGGCCCTTTCCAAGCTCTGGGGAAGCATTTAAAGCCATCTGGCCTCAGAGATAAAATGGTCTGGCTGAAACTGCCTTCCTTCCCACATTGCCCTAGCTACTGAGTGGGAAAAGCCACCTTACTTGGTGTTTCCTACTTCTCCAAGGCTGTGACTTAGTTTTTTCCTACGCTGTCACAGTCATCTCTTTAAGAACATGATGGAAACTTTATCCAGGCCTGGTTGACTTGGCTTGCATTTTATTACTATTTTTTAATACCCGTTGTAAATTGGAAGAGCAGCAGAAGGCCTTGAGCTAATTGGACCTGGAAAAGTTCTAGGGCAGGATAGTCAGAACTTGATTCCAAGGAAGAATTTTTTTTTAAAATTCCATGATGAGGTATTTAGTGTTGAGTTGCTTCTTCCAGCCTCAGATAGCTGCATCACTGAAGGCTGGGAATGAATTCAGGGCAATATTCCTGTGTTCAATCTCTTCCCTGCCTCTCTAGCTGTCTGCTTCCAGCCACTAGTGGTGATGGCATCCCGACTGGACAAGTACTGGTGTCTCTTAGGTGACAGTGTGAGGTCAGTGTGGATAGGACCAGAAGCTTTTGGATTACCCCATTGTCACACCAGCTGAGCAGGGTTTGCCTGATGCCAGAAATGGCCAAAGAACACACACACACACAACAATCTCCACAGCTTCCTATGTGATTTGTAGTCTGATCAGACTTCTAGGCCCAACTGAGCTTTCAAAATGTGGCTCTGGAGAGAAGAGCTTCCCTGAACAAAGTTAGCACTGCCCCTCCATTGTTGGCACTGAGACTTGGGGACAGGAGGGTCCTTTTCAAGGAGGTTATTCCAACTCCCTTCCTCAGCAGCAGCAGGATCTCTCACCATCCTGTTTGCTGTGTGAGGAACAGTTGGGGCCAGGGCTGTTTAGCAGGAGCCTGCAGCTGGTAATTCCTGTTTACATCCCACTGACCCTGGGGCTTTGCCTGTGTCACATATGGCAAGATGCCCCCATACCACCACAGTGCCTGCGTGTCCTGCAAGTTACACTGTACCTGATTACTTCTTGGGCTCAAAGTGGGCTTGACCCATGCTGGACACCAAGCCACAAGGCTGCCAGGTCTGTGGACATGCGCTGTGCCACCCTGGGTTGCTCTGTGATGGCAGGTAGCCAGTAGGCACAATAGCTGACTCTGGCTGTGTATCATTTATCCTCTCTCTCACCTGAGGAGAATACACTTTGCAGAGTGTGGCAGTCACCTGTGTCTTGCCTGATGTAGGAGATGGGAACTGGCTGAGAACAGTGCCCGTGCAGGCAGGACTTGCACTTAGGGGGCTGCAATTTCCTCTGGTCTAGACACTTGTATAGCTCCACTATCCATCTGTGTTTACCTTTCAGTTTAAACCCTAAATCCCTGCAGGCTGGGATCAAAGCACGATGGCTCAAACAGTCCATGCTGTGCTTTTTAGCATTAGACCTGGCTGTCTAAGCCTCTCCTCAGTCTCCATCCCAAAGGAAAATTTCCTTAGCCAGGTGTCCAGGTTGAATTGTTTTGTTCTGACCATTCAATTTTGCTACTTTTTCCTCTAGCATTTCACATGGGGCCATTTCTAGGAGTGCAAACTAAAGATTCTCCTTGCTCTCAAGCCATGGCCCCTGCAGCATGTGATTGCAATTGGAACACGCTCTGCATTGTGCTAACAGCTGCAGTTGCAATGGGCTTCTCCCAGCCCAGCTCCCAGCTTCCTCCCTGGACACACACACTGCTGTCTTTGTGCCTGCTGGGAGGCCAAGGATGAGCCCCAGGCAGGACAGGCTCTGTGATCCCCCTGGCTGGTTGAATGTGGAAGAGAGATCTGTGTGTGCTCCCCAGAGCTCCCAGCAGGCAGCTTCATGCCCCAGCACCCAGCAGGCAGCTCCATGCCCCAGCTATCCAGCCTTTGTGCTGGCACTTCCACGAGCAGATTTATCAGCTTTCCACTTGCCCGTTGACCTGCCCCCCTTCCAGGCTGGCCATAGTGGTAACAGCAGCCCTGAGGATGCACTCCAGAGGGGTTATCTGAGAGAGGGATGTGTTGGGCATTGAAGGGCTTGCAAGCACCCATACTGGCAGGTCTCACTCCAGGACTGTGACCCAGCAGTGGCTTAATATACCCAGGCCTGTGGCCATTGCAGTTTTGGCTGTTCCCCCTGCTCAAAATTCGGTGTGAGGGAGCTGCAGTTTGGGGTCAGCATCCTGTAACGCCTGCAGGGAACAGTAAATCCATCAGTGAGCACTGAGGCTGTTCCTGCTCTCTTTCTGCAGCCCAGCTGTGAGTCTGAGCACTATTCAGACTGGATCCTGGGAATGAGCTGTTGAAAGCCTTATTAGATGCCCCCCAGGTATTCACTCATCCGTTAACCTTGCTCACTTTCTAAACTGCTGCACTTGGACTTGCCAGATTGCCCAGTGCTGCTTTCAGTTCCGAGAATGATACAAAAAGCATTTTTGCAGCTGTATCTATTTTTGTCTGACTCAGTCCTGAAGTGGTTGGGAGTAGTTTAGACATG